TCAATTTTTAAAATCAGCCCTCAACATGTTTGGCACAAAAAACATGGACAAATCACATTCTTCAGGTCACAGACTGAACACAGAAAAGGATTTAAAAGAAAAGATAAATTGATGTTTCACTTTAGTTACTACATCATCATTGGAGGCTTTATATCCGTTTTTTGTAATTGTGATAAAAAACATTGTATATATTGAACATAGTATTGTATTGTCCGACAAACAGAACGATGAGCTCTTGTTAGCTCAACAATTGTGAAAAGTGGGTGCATTGCCTTTGATAATAAGCTATTACGAACATATTTTTGTTGTATTATAATAAGTGGTGGAAGATACAAAGTTGTGTTTTGGATTTTGTTTTTAACATCATGTGAAAATTAGGGCGACAGTGGCTCAGTTGGTAGAGCATTGGCCTTTGAGCCTGAAGGTCGTGTGTTCGAGCCCCCAAAGAGACCTTCTCCACCGACTCCCATTCATGTCTGCTGTTGTTGTGTCCTTGGGCAAGACGTTTAACCCCACTTCGCCTGAAGCCCCTGCTGAAAAACCAAGGCTATGCCATAGAGCCAGCGTCCTCCTGTGGACGGCTGCTCTATGGCATAGCCTTGTACTGGGTGGCGTCTCAAAATCTTTCATAAATGAGTCCCCTGTAATTGAAAACATATTTCACCAAACTGTAATCGGTTTGGAAAATTACTTCATTAATTCCCAGCAAATCCTACTGGTGGTTGTGCAAAAAGGAGGAACTTTTCTAAAAGAATAAATAAAAAAAGCATTGTTTCAAACATTGAAAGCTGGGGTGCCTAACTTATCATAAATCTTCAATCTTCAGATTGAAGGATTCTTGTAAAAGTTACATTCTGAGAACAGTCCACAAGATGCTGCTTCAAATCAGAAAACAATATTTCCTTTGCATACTTAGGAACAAGGCAACAAATCTATGTGAAAACTGTTTTTATGTGGTTTGAAAGTGTGCTACTCGAAATTCAAATTCACCACTGAGTTCTTCATCCACCACTGATTACAATTTCATTTTCACAGCTAGAACACACACAGAGAGAAGGCATGTGGGGCGATGACAATGGCTTCATTATTGCTTTACAGAACATAGCAAACCAGTTTGCACATGAAATATCCCTGCTCTCTGCTACAGAAAACATCACACATTTCATTTACAAAATAATACATTAGATACATCTTTTTGATGGCTTGAAAAAGTACTTCATTTATTTATATATTTTCCCTCACAATCTCCCACCCCATCGGATTTTTCATTGCTACATATTATGTTATCCAGAATAAATTGTATTAGCTTATGCGCATTTGCTAAATGGGATGTGTGAATCATGCTACTACTAATGCTACAAACGTGTGTAAATAGCATCAATATCGGCTCTTTCCTTTTGAATCCCAATAATAAATGAACTATTGAGTAACTTTGGCTTACTCTAAAATGACAAAAACAATCATATTTACATTTCAAAGACAATATAGGATTTTCTGGTTTTTGAAGAAGGCTTGGAAGCAATACAAAATTGGACTGTTTAGCGCGATATGGATCACAAATAAAGGATGTAATGTGCAAAAACTGACTTCTTACAACTACTACTTTTGCTTTTGTTACAACCAGGGATGCACCGACATCAAACCAGTACTTGATCCAAAACAATTGGCAATAATGGTACAGATATCTGATACCAGTTTTTTATCTGTGCATCCCTAGTTGCAACATTGTGTTCCCACGTTAAACACATACCCGGAGTTGTTTCTTCACAGAACACTTTGTGTTGAATCAGACCTACGCTAACACATGGAGCTGCAGAGGCGTTTTAACCCAATAAACATATAACCCTTTGAAGTCTTTGTTTAGGCCTGGTTCATACTCGTGAGACTGTTGTGTGACTTCATTGATAATGTTTGTTGTAGTAAGTTAAAGCTGAAGTGTAGTTTCATGAATACAACAGAGTGTATTGTGAGCAAATCCTCACGCTCTTTTTCTGTCACATTAGGTATTCCAGCTTTCAGTAATGGTCCAATTCTGTTTCTGTAACCTGTAATTGTTTGAAAAAGTAATGAAGCAGATGGATTGTGTGGGATCATTTGTACAAAATATAATGTTGTGTTTAAAGTGCTGGCATGTTATTCAATAATCCAACCCAGATACAAAAAATGAAGTCAAATGTAGCTAATTAATGTTCAGTTATTCTTTGCAACTCAATGAGTGTGTTGCGACTCAAACATTGTAATTGTAAAATTGCCATTATACATTATCCAACACTCCGCAAATGTAATAACACAACATTGTGTTTACTTTGGGCCTTTGATTTTCACACATGCTTAGCTGCTGCAGGCTGGATCATCACCTTTGTCCAGCTCTGGCTTACTGTAGCTCAGAAAATAGACTTTAAAGCAGTTTATGTTCAAGTCTCTCCTTGGCCTCACCCCAAAGTACTTTTCTGACATGTTATTTGCAAATGAACCAACTTGGACTCTGAGAAGCACAGGGACTCTGGAGTCCAGAGTCAGGACTAAACATGGGGTGACAGCATTTCAAATATATGCAGCTTTCATCTGTTCTTGGAAATGTGAGACAAGCTTCTAAATTCAGGTTAAAAACAATCCTGTTTAGCCGTACTAAACTGAAGGATTGCACCCTCACTCTATTTAGATGATTTATGGACTATACACAGTGAAGCAGACCTCCATAGCTACAATGCCACAACATCGCTTGTGGCATCGTAGCTGTGTTTTTTGAGTGTGTGTAGACTCCAGATATGTGTTTTGACAAAGGGACAATGTTGTTGCATGGTTTCAAATAGAAAAATAATAATACAAAAAATAAATGCATAATATGTCTCAGATTTTACGTTCACAATTACTTCACACATTCAAATAAATAATGTACCCGCTCCATACTTATTCAAAACACAGTATTTCAAAAAAAGAAGAAAAATGAATTCCATAGGGTATAAACAGTACATAAAACCATTACATTCTGCATGTAACTTCTCTCCAAAAGATCATGTCCATCAAAATAATTACAGCTAAAAACGCCTGCTTCCTCCTCGTCATCTTTTGAACCGCCTCTGCCGTTGTCTCGATAATACACGGGTTTGTGCTAAATCAAAGGCTGCCATTTGAAAAGAAAAGAGGGAAAAACATCCTCACGTGTTTTGTTCCCGAGCACGTTTGGGTTCACAATGTAATCAGAAAAAGACACTAAAGGCAGCATGTTGGCACAGAGTAAAGTGACATTTGTTCAACAATAGGTGTTTTTTTTCTTCTTCTTAAAACATGCAATATTTGTGTATGTTTGTAATGTGCTATGTGTGTAAAGGAACACATAGCCTTTTGACTTCATGGGTCCATCTATAAGTGTTTTGCCTGGAATGTTCTACAGTATTCAACTTTTCAAACAGAAATGGAACCATACATAAGTGATTTCAACAGGTAACGTTACAGGTCATAAATACGCAGACTCAATGTAAGAAGTCAGGTCCCAAAAGAGCTGTAAATAAAAAAAATTACTAATATAACTACATTACATTACAAGCAAAACTGCACCTTTCAAGATGTTCTCATTATGAATGTATTAGCTGGGATTCTGGGGTTGTGAATATAAATACATAGTTTGGCATCAATCAAGTATAGTTTGTCAAGGAAAGCATTTAACAAGTTGTAACCTCATCACATTTTACTGGAATGTTAACAATTAATATTAATCAAATAAAAGAAACATGTTCTATCTATTTACTTCTGAAATATAATTTGTATGTTATTGCAATGTTTTGCCCGATGAATCCCCAGTGTGATGTCATCTCATTATAACCATAAGAAAATGATAAATTGTTATAATTGTTGTCAAATTTGTTGTGACATTAAGACTTCCTTATAGTCCTTGTAGTTTAAGTATAAGATACAAACCTATCATTCGCACTTGAAACAAGATATGCTAATTCCATCGTATATATCACTTTACTGTACATATTCTAAATCTCCTTTTTGTATTTACACCTGGTTGTTGATTGTGGAAATTCCATTGTATTTCATATTAAACCAGTTTGCCCTTCACTCTTTTGGCCTTTATAAATAAGCTGTTACATATGTATATATATATATATATATATATATATATATATATATATATATATGGCCCACCCATGTCATCCATTTATCTTCTAATATTGTACAAAAATAGCATTTGACATTTCGTAACTGGCTTTGTTTTGTACACATTCTGATGGGATCCATTCCATGCTAATCTCATGCCTAAAGCTCTTGCATTTTAAAGGATTCCTTATTATCCATGCATGCACTCCACCACATTTTACTTTACATTCCACTATCTAGTTGGCTTAAAACGCACATCATATCATAGGAAGCTATAAAAGATAATATTGATCCATTTCTGTTGAATTTGGGATCAACCATTTCATATTATTCACTGTTGAGAAAATGGCAAGATGTTTAATTGTATTCTTCATTTAAGCATATAGCATTTCCAGGTATTGTCCCTAAAAATACAGTGTTTTGTATTCTTAACTTTCTTAACTTTAATCATTCAACATTTTATATTGATGATGCAACCAGGTATAAATCTATAACTACATTACTTTTTAACCAATGGGCAAAATGACCGTAATCCACTTATTCCACTGCACTTTTCTACCATTATAGAGAAGGGAGAGGCGGCGAGTCTTCAACTAACCCTCCTTGAATATGGCAAAACGTGTGAGAAGAAATGATAAAACTTTCTCTATAATAATCTTTCAAATTTCGTAAAACGCTCTTACGATAAAAGTGTTTGTATCATGCACTTTCCGTCTTCAGTTCGCAGAGCAATACGATTCTCCATATTGCCTTGGCATAGTCTTTGAATAACGCTTCGAGCCTGTACCCAGTCATCCAAAGCGAAATATTTCTGGGTAAAATGGCCGAGCGGACATGCTGCCTGTCACAAATCAGACGGGCTGAGACGATTGTAAAATGACGATCCAAAGATTTCTTTAGGATCTTTCGCAGCAGGGAATGTTGCTTTCCAAAGACATCTGTGAAGAGGACTGACGTATAAGCGGCGCCAGTGTGGGCTCCACCATCGAGGAGGTAGGGAACAGCTTGTACCAGCCGATCGTCATGGAGCTCAGGTCCAGCTCTTCCAAAAGGATTCGAGCCACGCCCATGAAGCACTTCCTGTCCATGCGGCCATAGTTGCCCCACACGATCACCTGCAAATGATAGTCAAGAGACAATATTGGCTTAGTGCAAGGAAGAGTAACCCAATAATCCTGGTGTGGCATTGCAAAAACAAACACAATGCATTAATGTTGTTCATCTTGGAGTTTATAAATTATCCTGAGTATACCTGTCATTTACACACTTGTAACAAACATGGACACACCTCCACATTTTGTAGCATTACTTGTGTTTTTATTATGCAAGTAAGTAAGGTTTATTTATATAGCGCATTTTACAGACCAAGGTCACCCAAATTACTTTACAAATGTTCAGAGAGATATTCCATTCTCTCCACACACGCTGACAGAAGCGATTCGCCGAACACACTGGTGCATCAAAGCCGCAACCACCATCCATTCACTCACTCATTACATTCATACCTATTGTGCTTGTTTTTTAGTGGTAGGGGAAAACGGAGCACCCAGAGGAAACCTATACAGACACAGGGAGAACATGCAAACTCCATTGTGAAAGGCCCTGTTCCGACCGGAATTCGAACCCAGGACCTACTTGCTGAGAAGCGAGAGGGCAATCAACTCAGACTTGTTTACAGACCAAGGTCACCCAAAGCGGTTTACTATGTTCAAATATTTTTACAATCTTTCCACAAACAGTGATGACGGAAGCGAGACGCCAGATACTCTGCCGCATCAGAGCTCCCAACCTACACTCACTCATTACATTCAGACCTATTGTACATGTTTTTAGTGGTAGGGGAAACCGGAGCACTCAGAGAAAACCTACACCAGACCGCGCTCATTCTACACCAGACTGCGCTCATTCTACGCTAGCCTGGTCGTACCACACCACAGTACAAATTACATTTCGTGCTAAGGTCTGGAGGTGCTCCATTGAGCTCTTTTTGCAGATTGAAACGATTGGATCTGAGTTTACCGTGACGTATGTAATGCGCCCGAGTGAGTTGTTAGCATTTAGAATTTAGCCTAGCCATCTCCTTTGCCGCTAACGGAGACCGTGGGGAGTAGCACCACAAACTTTTCCAGCAATGACATTTGCTAAACATTCCTCTTGCTCCTGCTTCCATTTCTTGATAGAACCAGACCAGGAATACTTTACTATCGCATTCTTCGCCGTTGCCAAACTACAACCTGCCTGTTCGGCGCAAACTCTTGACGTCACCCACAACCAACTACAACACCTGCCTCCCGCGCTCGCTGATTGGTCGGATGGAATTCAACCGATTGTAATCGTAAACACAGGGACCAGACCCAGACGTTACATGCAGGGAAATGATGATTGAGCGGAGTGTACGGATGGCTATGGCCAGGCTAATTCTACGCCAAACCAAGCTCATTCTACACCAGACCGCTCCTTTTGACATGTAGAAAAAACGGATCTCCAGTCACTTGATTACGCTCGTGATAAGCCCTTTTTCTGCACATTTTTCACTGCTTGTGTAAATTGAAAGGCTCATTACAATGAAAATCTATTCTTAGATGTATCTGTGCATCTACCTTTGCGTGCTGAAGACGCTTGGGGTACTTTGGGGGTTTGGCAGACCTACTCAACTTGCCTTCCAGGAGCCAAATCAGGCCTGCCCAGATATCTGATATTGAAATTAATTATTACGTCAATTAATTACATATAAATGTGAATCTCCTTAATACCAACCAATTCATATCTGGTTGTCAATTGAGTATTGTTACATTGTGGCCATCGTAGAACCTCATTTCTGTTTTATGACTCATCTGCCTAATCCCACTGCCTCACACGTCCCTTGTTACAGGCCCCTCGTCACATGTGCTGTCGTCTGCTCTGATAACAAGACAAAGCTATCGATCGGCTTTCTGCTCGCCTCTTGAATGGTAACGAATTTGTGACCATTTCCATCGAGATGCAAATCCATTTCGATCCCTGTTCCATCTCTCAACAACAAGCCTCTCTGTTCGGGTTCAACTGTCTCCTGCATTTGCGAGAAGGAGAGGATGGATTGGAATATAAAAGAGAAATGTTTTCAGGTCAGACTAAAAATACTCCCACTGTGATTACTTTGAAGCAAAAATAGTGGTGTTGATGATTTTGGGCGAGAGAACATCATTTGCTGTGATGGAATTTAAAGATGTCTTTCTATAAATTCCCTTTTTCTTTGGAAATAGAAAGTTTGGAAACTCTCAATAGAGACAGGAATGTGGAGATTAAATGTATTGGATTTTAGTCTGAGCTTAATCTGAGGTTGTTTTAAATGATTACTTATTTTCATGGAGAAAAGCAAGTGATCTGTGGCTTGTTCAAGAAGAGTTTTGATTAAAAGGTTGAACAACAATATTTCCTTTAGGAATATATCCTTTATACTAGATCCAACTAGATCCACACTTTTCAGATCATGATGCACATTTTTAGAGTTGTAAAAAAAAAAAAAATTGTACTGATGTCCATTGGATCCTAAGCCCAATACCTTAACCTCACAGTTTTATATCTCCTTTAACTGTAAACTGTAGTGTTTCTTGACATTACTTATACTTTTCATAGCAGTTTACTTTTTTGACTGTTGTCTCCTCTGAGTCATTGGTGGCGACATTTTCTCAACATTACATTGATTTGTCAAAGTGCTCTAGTTTTCAAAGGCCTGAGTATCTAGGACACCGTATTTTTATCTTCAAAAACTTGTGTGAACATGATCCAACTTCCAAACAGTCACATGGTGTTCTGGCTACAAGGAGAATTGAAACAGTGCTTGGCTGATGAGGTAGAATAAAGTTATGAAAATGAAAATGAAGTATTGTACAGTTTTGTTTGGATGCTGACATTGTCTGGTGGCTTTCTTTGGGAATTTCAGACCAAAACATTAAGAGCATGCTTTAGTGTGGAAGCCTACATCTATATTTCTTCTAAAATCCTGCTTCACTCTTCTATATATTGATCATTTTTGACACACGTGGATCATTATTTTATTTAGTAAATAACTGCAATGCAAATGCAATAAATGCAATGTTGTCTGACAATTTCCCTATTTAAATCCACTGTATCTCTTTGTGGTCTTCCCCTTTACAAGACATGAGCAGTAGTGTGGTGCCTCAGAGCAAAAAATACTCATTAGATAAGAAAAAAAGAAAAAACAAATTCAGAAAAACACTTGGGGTGTTCATTGGCGTATCAGTTGTTAGAGAATATGAACGACTCGCACTCCAACAAACTTTGAGTGTATAAATGTCAATGTAAAACAAGGATTTCATGAACAAAAGCTGTGTTGCAAGTTATGTCGCCTCTTGGGCACGGTGGTAAAGTCCTGGGTTTGAATTTGAATGTTCACCCCATGTCTGCATAGGCAGTGTTGCCAACTTAGCGACTTTGTCGCTAGATTTAGCGACTTTTCAGACCCCTATAGCGACTTTTTTTCAAAAAAGCGACTAGCGACAAATCTAGCGACTTTTTCTGGTGTTATTGGCGACTTATCTGGTGTTTGAGACTCTGGCGTGAAGCATGTATTGTTCTGCAGTTACTGTCCTCAACGTGAGCCCCTCCCCCGTCCCAAAGCACTTACAGGCGGCCAGTCTCACAGTAGCCTTGCGCAGCAGTCCCAGCTACAGTCTATGGGCGGAGCAGAGAGAGAGAGAGGAGACTCAAAAGCACAGGAAGTTTTCAGGCTGCTGCAGACTGAACTTCAGCTCCACCACCACCACACATCCAAAGCTCCCCGGCCACTCCTACCACCGCCACCCCCCACTACCCCCCACTCCATCCGCGGCAGCTCTGTCCGTGACTCTGTTTTCTCTCAGTAGTGGGTCACATTAAATCATTTGTTATGCCAAACTATGAAAAAAAAAAAAACTTATAAAAATAAACCTAAGTAACTATGCCAGAGTGTGTCTTTTGGGTCACTTTGCCGGTCCCAAGCCCGGATAAAGGAGGAGGGTTGGTTGTAGAGCTAGCAATTTCACCCTACATAACAATCTTTTGATTACATTTGCTGTTATAACATTTAACAATACAGGACAAAACTGATGTGTGTAATGTGGATCTAGACAAAGCATTAAAATCATTAAATGTTGTTAATGTTGAAATTATTTTTGTACATTTGTAGTTCTAAACATATTTAGGGTGTTTTTTACTCACTTTTGTCTCTCCCACGACGTTATTCCTCTCTCCTACAGCGTCCGTTACAGTTATTTGCAAATTGCCAATTATGCAAATTAGGCGATGACGTCATTTAGCGACTTCTAGCGACTTTTGGGACAGCCAATAGCTACTTTCCTTACTGAGGAGTTGGCAACACTGTGCATAGGTCTGCTCTTCTGTATTGTCATGTTTGGAATGAATGGATGATACACCCATGAGCCCTATAACGTCTCATGTGTGTACTTAGAGATCTGTTATATAAATAACAGCTGATTACTCATACAATGTGATGTGGGAAAAGTGTCTTGCCTAAGGACACAACAACAGTGTGGCACTTGAAGCAGCAGCCACCCCACTGTGGCACCTGGAGTTCCCAGAGCTTCTGAGGTGCTTTGCAAAACAATGATTTTTTTATTTGATTGAATATTTTTAGCAAAGACTATCCTGCATGGTACACCAGTGGTTAAGGTGTAGGTCTTGTGGGTTCAAAACCCTCTCCTGGTAAGGTCCTTCTCTTCTCACACAGAACCAGACCTCGTTGGATCTGTTTTGACGAAGCCTCAGAGCCCACAATGTTTATGAAAGGCCGTTTCCAAGTCCCAATGCTTGTGATTTATCCTCGTACTTTTTAAACAATTCCAGTACAGGAAACTCATAAAACATGAAAGACAGACACTGCTCTGTGAAGACCTCTCAGAAAGAGAGGTCAAATGTATTCAACACCAGCTCTCATTGCGCTGGCTAATTTTAGACTCTGAGCTGAAATCAAAACCTTTATCATAATGACTCCTAGAAGCCGAAAACGATGCATGGAAAATTAATTGGAAAGGTAATACTTTATCATTGGGTGATTTATTTGAATTTTAAACTTCTTATATTGTTTAATCCTGGTATAGTCCTCATATCTTGGTTTTAAGGTATCATGTGCATCTCTTTTTTTCAGCTTTGAATGCATTTCTTACTTCTACCACTACATGGGAGGGCTTTGCTCAGTGACCATCTCTTATTCCATCTATACTTACTTTGATTTATAAATAATACATTTACATTTATTTCTCCTAACTGTAAAAATCAAATCGAAAAATATAATGTTGTGAATAAATCAGACCACATCGGGATGTCTGTATTGAATTGGACAATGTGGGTTTTTTTTTCTTTTAGAAAGTAAGAAAGAGCTCTGTGAGTTACTAAGTAAAGCCTCAGGCTGAGAGCTGATTGGCTAAATGATGGTGGTCCGATGATATGTGAAAGAACTACGCTGTCACCGTGTGTGGAGAGAATGGAAAAATATATTAACTCTAAACATTGTAAAGCGCTTTGGGTACATTGTTATTTCAGTTGCGATAAGGACATTTGGCCCCCCCAGTTTTAAGTTTTAGTCCTATTTCTATGATTTCAGGCTAGGCTTGTGTAGCTGAAAAGTGTAATAAAAACGTGTCCAGAAAATATGCATTTGGTCGGTTGCAAGCACATGCGCAGATCCATGTGACATGCCTATTTTCAGATTGCAGTAATTAAACTCATTCTATTCACATTTCCACACTCATGCTGTGAGGTTCTTGTCACAACTCGCCAAGGCTTATTATCTATTTCTGCTCAGATACAAGGCTGACAATAGCACCATCACTTTTATACTGTGCATTTGTCTTGAAATAATGCAAGAAAAACTATAGTTGTTCTACCCAATATGTCACCAAAATTTAGAAACACATTTAGACCGAGAAGCATCTGTACGTCGGATTCGAATGTGCTAGGTTTTTTTTTCAACTATACTACTGACCCAAACGACAGAATGTTTACATAAAACATTCCCCTTATTGTTATTACTTGTGACATTGTTGTATTTGGCTTGTCTTCATTCTGGACTGCGAGTCTGTAATACTGTTTGATGATTACCATAATTGTATGATACTAGTGATTCTGACCTACAGTATTTCTCTCCAAAAAAAAATATAAAATCAAACTGAATTTGTTTGAAAATCTTTTAGTATAGAAAAAAGGCAGGTCTATTTGTAAAAATGAGGTCCTGTAGTTTTAAATAAAGTCTATGAAGAAGGTCGTGGGTTCAATCCCCCCACAAGACCCACTCCAACTGCTCCCACTAATGTCTGCTGTCGTTGTATCCTTTGGCAAGACACCTAACCCCACGTTGCCCGAAGCCCCCAATGAAAGACCAACGCTGTGTCACCGGTGATGGAGCGGCCATCTTCCTGTGGACCCACCACCTGCAGAGCATCAGCGAGGGACTGGTGCTATGAGCATTGGGTGGCAGCTCTGATTGCTCCCCACACCCCGATCCAGAAATGGACTAATAAAGGGGCACTAACTGAATGAATGAATTAACAACCTACGTCTTTTTTTGTAAATATGTGGAATCCATGTCAAAACCCTAACCACTTGACCACCCTGATGGTTACAGCGTTGGCACTAGTGAGTTCAAACCCCACTCTTGGTAGTCTTTGGGAAACTTTGCAAACACTAGCCAAGTTCTAAAGAATGGATAGCATCAAGCTCCTATCTACGTTTTTCTTAGCTTTACCGTGAAAATCTACTTATTGTTTATAAAAGTGTTTGGCTTCCATAAACACATATGCAATAGTTGAAACGTGGACTAGATGAAGATAGAGTAGACCTATTTTTGCTCACTCTTGTGCATTTTGTGAAGAGGGAAATGTACCTAAATGTGAGGATATCAGTGTCCATGGTGATGCTGTGATGGTACCTGCATGATTTTGCCTTGGGGGCTCTGGCTGAAAACGAGGACCTGGTTGTACAGAGGATCCAGGCTCTTCCGCACCGTCTTGGTCTTCTTTTTGGCCACACATTGCCCGTTCTCCAACAAGTAGACTTTTATATAAGCAGCTGAAACAAACATACAGTTTATTACGGCTAGTGGTATGATGGTTAATGTGCAATGGTTTCAGTTGTGGTGAAAAGTGACAAGCATTGGTCCAAAAAGATTTTTTTTTAATTCAAATTATGCGTATATACCATTAACTGTAAATATTAAATCCAGCACTGCATTTGGGTAAATGCAGCCGGAATTAATAATAATGCAGTACTTAAAGAAGCAAAGGTACACGTTCAACATTTTGGACATCAATATCCTTCAACAAGTGATTGTTTCCTGGTCCCTATTTCTGGATTAGAGTGTACTTGCAGTGTAGAAAAGTCAGAAAAGTTATGGGTATTCGAGACAAAGATATTTGGAAACCTCACAACTGGACTTAAATAATTCATTATAGCGTAACTAAAAATATACGCACATACATGACCTATGAGTCTGATATACTAAGACTTTACTTGATGCCCAGTGTTGGTGCCAAACAGACCAAACATCAATGAACTCATTTTGTTAATGAGAAATATAATATTTGGACAACGTTGCCCCACAACTTAAATATTGGAATTAACACACAAATTATGACACAATAATGGACCTTGGTATAGAAATATAGCCAGCAATATATTTTGTTTTATTGGGCCCCAAACTCAAATGACTTGAGGTCTAGCCTATATGTCACATAGAAATGTTACGCAGCTTAGGGAAAGTTGGATGCTTTAAAGACTATAAGGGAACATATGTCTTCTTGAACACAAAATGATTGTCTTTAATAAATACACGGGAGGAAAGACTTTTAAATCTGCATGATAAACTTGTTTTCTTGTTTGAGCTTCTGTTGAAGTAATCGCAATAAAATCAAATAAAATGACTGATAAACACATTTCCTTATTTACTCACTTCCTACTCAAGTAGCAGAGTATATAAATCTAGGTCCTGAACAGATTTGTTGTATTTGTGATCCAAATGATTGAACACAAATTGTCGATCCTGTGACGTCCTCCAAGGTGACAGCTGTTGTGATCTCTTTGGATTGGCCAAAAAAAGGGGCCATTATTTTTATATTTATACGCAGACCGTTAACAAACTCCACCCAAAAAGATTTTGGCATTTGTCCATAGAAGCATACACAATATATTCATTACATTTATGTCTGATTTTTTAAACATAATTTTTTCTCATTTCTATTGTGTGGTTAATGTAATGCTCTGTGTTGTCAGTCCCTGTGTTGTCAGTCCCTGTGTTGTCAGTCCCTGTGTTGTCAGTCCCTGTGTTGTCTGTCCCTGTGTGCTGTGACCCGAGCACCAGGTCTCAGAGGCTCACCTGGGGGACACTTGGAGCCGGGCTTCTTGGTGAGTCCTCGCGCCTGCACCACCTCTACCTCCAGCGCCCCATTTCTCTCCACAAGACCGATCTCCACATCACCTGCACACAGGCCACGGTTAGTTCACTTTAAAGGAGACATGTTATTCAAAACAGACTTGGAATTGTTTTTAGATCTGTCCACGTCAGGAACCTGTGGCACAAACATGTAAATCCGCCCCTTCTGTCTAAATGATCCTATCTCAGTCCTGATGTCATTGTGTCAGTGTCACGCTCAGAGCAGTTTTCTGCCTTATGAAAACAAAGGTAGTGCTCATACATTAGTTTTGGTATTTCTCAGGTGAAATAACGCTCTTTACAATTGCTTTCATACAATACAATACAATACAATTTCTTCTTGTATAGCCCAAAATCACAACAGAAGTAATCTCAGAGGACTTAACAAACCATTGAAATCACCAACACAGATCAGAGAATCAACAGTTAAGACACAAAAATAATATTGATGTGTCTGCATTTGTGAATTAGGTGGAAAGCATTTCACCATATATTTTCTTAATAGCCCTTTCATTTTCACTCCTTGAAGAAAACTATGTAATTTTTCATGTTTTGGATTTTCTAAGGTGTTCAAGCACTAATAACACAAGTAATTAGTTTTTATGTTTTTTTGAAGCCCTAGTTTTTCATGTTAAGCCTTTACTAAATGTTTCAGAAGCGAGATTCCCCAAAGAGGTATATTTCAGTTCGAATCATGATTCAAGATTCATGATAATAGTGACTCAAACAATGTTCTACCAAATGGTTGAGGAAACCATTAGGGGTTAAAGTAATATTTTGCATTCTAAAGCATGTGAAGAGTCTCATTAAAAATGTTAATGGTCATTTGTACACCCAGTATTATGTCATTTGTCAAGTCAAAATGTTAACGCACATAATTAATCAAATTGATAATTACTTCTAAGTTTGTGATTGCAGCAGACATGTTTTGTTTGATCTGAAACTATAATACATGTAATAGTTTTATATCAGCCTCAGTTTGACTTTGACCTGTCGTCTGAACATTCACACTTTGCCCCTGAGTCTGGTTCAATACAGATCATCCACCTGGAAATAACATTGCTACAGATCTTTCCAAAAGAATGTAACTGCAAAGAAGATGCGGTTAAGTTATGTTGGCGCATTACATAAGCATTGGCTGAGTTTGAGTCAAGTCCAGCTGGTTCCACTGTTTCAAGGTCAAGGACGAACTCTGGCCTGGGACTGGACTGACCCAGTTTGAACGAGCCACAAAAAGGACATTTCAGAAGAAGATATTTTTACTGTACGCAGAAGGAGCTTTTCACATATTTCTTATAGAATAGAGTAACAGCATATTCAGAATACTGACTGGAACTCAACATTTTAGTAACAACGACCCAGTGCTATTTTACAGGTGTAAATTTGCTGCATCAAAAAGGTTTATGGGAAACTGGCACTGTTCATGATCTGCTTCCATTATGTTTTGATGGACCCTTCCTTATTCTTCCTCGTTCTATAAAATTGACTATTTATGAGACGATGTTTGTCCTGCTTTGGTCAAGTGAATTCCTAATGTATTTAAATTGAGAAGAAACTAGATGAAATGTGTATTTGTTGAATTTGAATACAGCCAGAAATTGTCATCTGAAAGGAAATCGTTCCAGACGATCAGGTCTGTGGTCTGTGTCACGATTGAAAATCTCACAAGACTCCTGTAGTTTGTGGCTGCAGCTCTTTCAGTGGAAGCTTCATCTGCCTATTGTGACTCAAAGCAGGTAATGATAAAGTTGTTGATACAGCACAGGTTGTATTTTGTGGATTCAAAACAACTTGATATAGATATGTCTATATATATATATATATATATATATATATATATATATATATATGTGTGTGTGTGTATGAGTGTGTGTGTGTGTGTGTGTGTGTGTTTTTTGGGCATCTCCCATTGCCTCTTGAAGCCATTGAGCAAAGACAGTAGGTTTTTGGGCTGTCCTCAAATGCTCTTTCAAAGGACTAAGTAAAGTGCCAAACGCAGCCATTGTCATCACTTCAAGAAGCCTATTTGAAGTGATGGACGGTTAATAAATGTTTTGTACAAACGGAGCAGACACAAAGGCTGAGCACGTGTCTGCATGTATCACTTTACAGAGAAGTAAAAACCAGGCTTTAGTCTCACCCAAAGACGTCGTCGCTAGCGTCTGACGGCCCACGAACTGCGCCGGCCCCATTCCATCGAGGAAGTCACTGAACTGGGCGTCAGAAGCCAGGCACATCCCACTGTAGTTTAGACTGCAACACAGCACAAATATACAGTTACAATGTAGTTCCATGTTGTCTGTTGAAGGAAAAACTTTGTGAAGTTATTTCATTGGCTATTTATTTTAACCAAACATTCCAAAAAGAGTATCATCATCAGCTTCCTTTAGCGACTGTGTGTTGAGTAAAGGATAAACTCATTCATCAGAAGTGTCCTCAAACTGCCCACTTACAGCTTTTTTAAACCCCCACTTTAGAGACAGTACTTCACAGCAGGCCAACATCCCACACAAGCAAGGTAATTTAAACAGAACGCAATGCTCTTGAAATCTTTATATTGCTTGTTCATATAGCACTACAAAGACATGTATCTATCAAAAGCTGGTTAGCAGTTGTTGAAATGTGATTGTGAACTGATGAAACATGGAAGCCAATTCTAAATTATTACAATTTCTAGTGCAATAAATGTACAGTATAAGTCAAGATATAACTATAAACTTCAGTGTGCAGAATTTTTCAGAAACTGCATTCAGCTCTGTCAAGTGATGTTGAATAATCCTGGTTGAGTTCTGGTTTAGTTCAGTCTACATCAGATTAAAGTGCTTGTGCGGCACTGGGCCAAGCTCCTATTATCTTATTGAATGTGTTTACAAAGCAAAAGAATACAGAGTACTTGAGGCCACTCAAGTCTGCAGACCTTAGGACGCCTCCGATGGGTATATAAAATTACAATTACACATACTGTACATTATAAGCCCAGGGTCCCAAAAGGAATCACACAACACGATCTTTACTTTGGGCATTTGATTTTCACACAATCTTTAGCCTGGTTTCTCCTCGTTCACTCAAATACATCATCGCCCGATGTCTCATTCCCATGTGATTGATGTGGATACATACAAGTTCAACCGCGTTGATATTTGCGCAGCCCAGACGCGCCCGTTGTAGAGGTGTGGAGCGTGCAAAAAATAAAAGCCTTGCCGCGCAGTAATGTTCCTTTCAGTGAAAATACATGTACATGGTAAACATGCCTGTGGTTATGGTCTTTGGCACTAGATCAGCCATACATATCTTTTGGAAATTTAACATGTGAAATTGTGTTCTTTTCTGTTAGTGGCTTTGTGCGCAGCGGGTAATTTTCAAATTTGGCAAAAAAACAAGCCCCCTGCTGTTATAAGTCATTACCTACATTTGCAAATCAATACATGCAAATGTTAGCAGCCAACCTAGCAAGTTAGCTCCCTCTTCTCAAAACAGGGGCCAATTTTGGTTGGGTTTTCTAGTGTTAACTATTGGTAGCATAGGAATAGGGCAGGCCAATAGCGTTATTAACCCTTGGTACTTGTTTCACCTTAGAATCTGCTGAAGATAATATTTCAGAGAGACTAATTAAGTAAATAGTCTCTCTAGTCTATTTGCTTCTGTTAATAGACGAGAAGTACATAATCTATGTACTTCTGTAGAAAGACAGATATATGCCATATAAAAATCTATTCCTCCAGAGAGGAAATGAAAAGCATGTAAAAATGTGTTTCGCGTTTTTTTATGTGCTCATAAACAAAAACAATATATTTTTCAAGGTTAAAAAAGATGGGAACAACTACATTTTAAGACTACATTTGCGTAAATTATAAGAATACATCCAAGAATGTGTCAATTACGTCTATTACAGTACTTACGATCATATGTAATGCCAATTTGCCAATGCCATCTGTAACCATCACTATAATGGCAGATATCCCTTTAGCCTCCATTATCCTCATTAGTAACAGATAACCCTTTAGATTTGAAATGGAATGGACATTGAATTGATCCTGATCCTGCTCCAGAGAGTTCATGTGTGGTATAGATATTACGTACAGTGTGCGAGGACTGAAGGCACAGGCTAATAATGGTGCACTGTGAAACTTTCTTTGCCTGGGTCATTCCAAAAATAAAGACGTCACAAAGACAGAAATGACAGAATACGGACGGAGGATGGTACTTTTGATTCTCAGCCTCTGCCATTATTTTCCCTTTCTCTAAGGCATGTTCACTGTAAACACCGGTTGATTCTATTACACCGTTGATATAATTAAAATAACCTAAACTGCAGGACTTGATTATCTAAGGCGGATGTGTGCGCCAGAGAGCTACGCCCTCGCCTACAACCAGGTTGTTGAGACCTTGATTATCTGCAGTTATTACAGCAAGTACTGTAATACTGTAGATCAATGATGAGACAAAATGGCCAAAACTTCAGGGGCCGCTTTTTGTCAAGAGCCAACAGTGCAGCAAAGTTATGGTGGCGTGTTCACCTCTTGCTTACGGTAAACGGTAAAGCACAGTGAAGCATGGAATCAAGTTGGCTGATGATCCGTCTATACATTTGGTGAAAGATATTGATTTAATTTTTTTCTGTGTAGCACCAGATGTGAGTGGTTAAGGTGTGGGGCTTAGGAACTGATGGACAGTAGTCCTTGTGGGTTCAAAACCCACTCCTGGTATACTTTAACAGGACAAGCGAACCATTCTTGATTAAGTCAACTTAAGTGGCAGGAGCTAACACTGTTTGGCTTCTCTACTCTCCATGGTAGAGAAAAGCATTTTTCTTGGGTTAAAATTTGAAAGGCCATGTCATAGGTGTCATGGTTCTGTTGGCACTCCCTCTGCTGCTTCTAGTTAGCTTTTCTTTGATAGTGTCACTAATATTGTTCTCCGTTGGCCTCAGACAGTCGCCCCGGATATGATAAATAGCTCTAAATAGCAGTGTTCATTTTCACTCTTGTTATTTAAAGAAATGGATCTTTCGAACATCACAATTTCCCATTTTAATGAATAAGTGGACCCAGAGTCTGTCTGAGAAGGAAACTCCAGAAGTGATGTTGAAGCATATTTTTACAACATTCATAAAGTGAATGTGAGTAATTTTAAATGTGAAAGGAGGAAGCTTTCCTTCAGCATATTTTTTTGGTGGTGATTATGCCAAGAAGGGGACTGTATTCAGTGTTAGAAAAATACTTCCTTTTGTGATATTATACTGTATATATATGTGATCAGTGGGTCAAAATATGCACCATTGTAAAAAAAAGAAATTGTCTACAGAATAAAACAAAAACATCAGTAGCATCTGTTTGCATCTGTTTAAAGCCGAACTTTAAATGCATCCACTCCATTTGTCTCCACTGAAAATGAGTGTATGTAAAAGGATGTGTCTCGTGTCAACTGCTCTTCATATTAACAATAACGTCAATAATCCATCCCGTCTCTATAATAGAATGACGCCCACTGACGGGAACAAGTCTGATGTAATTTCCCAGAATGCATCGTGGATAATTTAGCAAAAGGTCGTTAAGGAGAGAATCAGCCGGAGAGTAGTAACACAACATGCAGGTTAATAGACAATGAGAATAAAAAATATGTTATCTACAAATGAATACATGCATGATTGACACGTTTTCAGCATCTCATAAACATTATTCTCCTACTGAAAACACACCTCATTATATGATCTGATTCAATTATATTTGTATCTATCTATGTGTGCAGTCCATTACCAGCATGGCAGAGTGGGTAATGGACTTCAGATCCAAGTAAACCTTGTGGGTTCAAACAACATTCTCAGATGTTTGGACGGCATAAGAACAAAAATACAAAAGATGCAGAGGTTTGAGAGTGTCCATCCATCCATTTTTTACCCCTTAATCCATGTCTGGGTCAGGGGGGTTGCCAGAGATGTAGGTGCCAGAGGCGGGTGGACTTTCAGTGGGAGCTTCAAAAAAAGTGGGGGTAAGTGTCTTGCCCAAGGACACAACGACAGCAGTCATCAGTGGAAGTCAATCTCATGGTGGGCTCGAACCCACGACCTTTAGGCTCAAATGCCAATACTCTACCAACTGAGCTACTTTTGCCCCCAGAGTTGAGATTGTGTCTTGCCAAATCAGTTGTTGCATCATTGGTACACAGCATAAGCGACACGACCAGAGTTTAAGTCTTTAAAAAAAGAGACTGGCAGTTTATGTAAACCAAGAAAATCTGAACCCTTTTTGCTTTGAAAAACTATACAGTAGCCTTTTTCACAAGAAAGCTTACAAAAGCATTTGCATGGTGGCCTGCACTTTGTCATGTGAAGATTTTCTTTAATGAATCAGACTATGTGAGACACAACCTGTACACACACATAATACCAGTCAGGAGGAATGGGCCAGAATCCCAGATAACGTGTGAGTAGTTGTGGCCTTAAAACTGCTACCTTTACAAATGTCACTGTTCAAATCTACTTTTTAGCACTGTATAATAACAGTATTGCAGTGGTTAAGGTGTTGGACTTAAGTAACAATGGACAGTAGCCAACAAAGTAACCAGTATGTGTATATGGTTAGAAAAGGTAAAAAATGTCATACAATTTATAGTAATACTTTACTTTTGTGTGATTTTTTTTTCCCTGCCAGAGCGTGGCTGCCGTTCTGCTCTGTTAGCAGTGGGAAAACACAGCAGCAGAGCGCGGAGGGGGAGAGAACAGATCAATACCGGCTCATAAGTGTGATTGGCCCCTGTTTGTGGACGTAGAGCTGATTCACAGGGGGCACATCACAAAGCTTTTCAATCAGCAGCTCCGAGCCAAAGCACTGACTCAAAGCATTGAGCCAAGGCACACTCCAAAGAGGGATAGAAAGACTGCATGAAGAATGTACAGTCAGTGTTCATACGTACGGGCGCAAGGAAAGCAGCTACATGTCCAAGTCCAGTATAAATGTGTCAACACATTAGGGCAAAAGGAAAGTGAAGTATGTTTATTTTAGTGCCATTGAAAGACTTTCAGGCTTTTACATTTCTAGTCATTTAGGTTGACAAAATTTACCTTTAGGATTTGTAATTGCACAACCTCTTGTTTGCCGGGGTACCTAACTTTATTTTTCAATAATGCATTTTGTTGGTATAAAAGATAGAGGTCAAAAAACACATTGTTGGAAATAACTAGTGATTCAAGTGTTAAAGCTGATACTGCTTAATTATCTGCCTTTTGTCTTAGTTTGGCTGTAGAACATACTCCGTTCCATAGACTGTAAATATTAACGGACGTAGTAACGCCTGTCTCCGCCATTCAAAGAAATGGGCCAAAAATTGTGCTTTCATGGAGCGTTTCAAAATGGCTGCAGGGGCTGGAAAATGTGAAAAAACGTATCTGCGCATGCGTCAGCCGGCACGAGCTCCATTCATTGAACGAGTGCCTTCAAAATTTAACAGCAGCTAAACTAGACTGGTCCAAAAAAATTCACTCTCCTCAGCATCGACACACATGTGGAACGGAGCTTTGGGCCAAGATCCAACTTTTGGACCATCCTGTAAAGACGTTTTTGACAGGTCAGAATATAAGTACATTTGCATTGAATTATTCCCTTTCCGGGTCCAGCCCCCTGGCCCGGTGTGGTATTGCAAGCACGTCAGTACCCGTCATTTTGGATATTTTATTGCCGGGACCCGCCCCCACTGGTTTAAACTGATTGATGATTGTTGGTTGGTCAGAATTGTATCGTTTCATGCTTCACCAAAATGAGGCTATACAACAATTTTTGTCCAAATAATTTTGCACTGGACGTTTAAAGATTGGCTGAAAACACAACAATTTACAGATCTTTTGTTTTACCTTATTTCCAACTCGATTGATTAGAGCAGCCATTCCCAAACTCAGTAACACCGAGGCCCCTTTAAAAATCTGACGGGTCTGCGTGGCCCCCCAAAATAATAACCAAGAAGACAACATTAAGAATAGGCTCTTCTGGTTATTTTATTTTGGGGAAATAGCCTCTGCTACAAACATTGTAATACAAAAATGATTACAGTGGATTATTCAAGTCAAATAATGAACACAAATATTTTAATATTACAAACAAAACATTATAAATTTAACATTAAATAATTATATTATTTTTTGTATTTTTTTAATGACCTCCCGCGGCCCCCCTGCAGTACCCTCGCGGCCCACCAGGGGGCCGCGGACCCCACTTTGGGAGACACTGGATTAGAGCAACCAACACACTGGAGAAACAAATTACTGTCTATGAATGATGCAATTAGTATGGAGTTCTACAGTATTTATCTCACCTCACTCAGCTCAACACTCCACCCAATATGAATCATTGTCCCATGTTCCAATATTTATTTACAAATCTCCAACTGTGGACGGGAAAATCCATTAAAACGTCGCGCTTGTGATAAAATATTGTCTTGCCTCGGGTATATACGGATGTTATTATCTCAAAAAAACATGTCATGGAAAAAGCAAACAGGAAGTGGGAGCGCATGCAGGAAAAGAAACCAGTCATTTGCATTTTTGGAATTGGGCCATAAAGCAGCTCTACGTCCTGCGGGCTTATAATAAGGATTTCAGCTCCCGAAATAAATGAGATATTAATATTCATGTGAGGGGAGAGTGAGTGATGCAACTGTCTGTCTGTCTGCGCACTTATGTAAGATGGAATCAGGGGAAAGGACTAGTACAGTGGACGTAATCGCGGCCGCTTTGGTAAAGGCGGCTTTTTTGGAGCCAGCGTGAGTGAAGGGCTTTAGTGGAATGTCGCACAACAACTATGTAAACCTGCATGAATATCATAAATTATGTGTTTTTAGAGATTTTTTTGTTGTTGTTAATAAATCAATTGTTTAAAATATTTATTTCAGATCATGTATAAGACAAATCCACCAAATAAATGAAAATATGTTCCCATACATGTTTTGTAAATGTTGGTAATTTACAGAATCATAAATGGAAACGATATGGACCAACACGTATGGAATAATAGAATAAGACATTTTATGGAATAAGAAAAAGTCATGGTTTGGTTGTCAACGAAAGAACAATCTTGTAACTCAATTTTTGCACACGTCACCAAACTACTTCCTCGCTCCCAACAGCCTGGGTCGATTATTAGTTTTTACACGCATATATTGTCGGCCTCAGTCACATCTTTGGATCAGCTTTGAAAAGTGAAAAAGAGAGAGGACCACCCTCACTCAGCCAATCAGCTCTCAGCCCAAAGGGTCATTTCATTTTCATTTTTTTTATTTATTTCATTCATTTAAAAACAAATGCAACAACAGCATTAACTATGAATGAAAAGGAGCAGAACGAATTATAAACGTATGATATCTGCCCCCTATCAACACAAAATATTTGACAGTTACAGTGCATTCGAGCCTCTAATGCAACTCTGGCAATTCAAAACTCAAAACTCAAAACACAAAATAAAGGTTACTGATCCGCAGTGATGTATTTCTGCAACATCAATAATTTTACAGACTTTTTAAACACAAAATCGGACGAAGAAGTTTTGATTTTACACTCCAGACTGTTCCACAGATTGATCCACAGATTGACTCCTTTGATTGAGATACATTTTTACTTTAGAGAAGATTGAAACCTGGGTTTATTAAAGATCTCTGTTCCTTTTAATTCATATCTACTTTTTCTCTTGGTGAATCTGTTTTGCAAATTCACGGGTAAACTTTCCAGATGAGCTTTATACATAATTTTCAGCAAGTTATACTCTACTAGTTCATTAAATTGCAGTGTTTTTAATTGTATAAATAATGGATTAGTTGTGTCTCTATATCCACTAACTGTGACAACCCTTATGGCTCGTTTCTGTAGAAGAAAAATCTGATTTATATTTGTTTTGCAGGCACTTCCCCAAACTTCAATACAATAGGCCAGATATGGAACAATCAATGAATTATACAGTACAAACAATGCTCTCTTATTTAGAGAGTCTTTGACTTTGTGCAGCATAGATATCATTTGGGAGACCTTTACTTTAACATAATTATCATGTCATTATGCCAAAGATAACTTGTTTAAGATTAAAACCCTTTTTTAAGAATACTTTTATAAGACTTTTCCCAGGACACACAACAGGCTTTATTTATGAAACAAAATAGAGCTCCAACATTTAGACGTCCAAATATTATTTATTTGATGATGTTTTGGGCTATTTTAGCCTTCCTTTGGACCACAACATTGGCCAAATTTGGACATCTACTTTTTGAGTGTTGATAACCAGGACTGTCAAAGACTAAGTAAGCAGCGGGAGCCAATCAGGAGCACTCACTTCCCCTCGGAGCCGTAGCTGTTCATGCTGTCTTCGATGGACTCGTGGCTGGCCTGGCGGATGGTCCGGCTGGGCATTTCCACAGCGAGACCTGTCTCCGTGCTGCGCTGGATGCTCTTCAGCCTGCGACCCTCTGCATCTGCGCAAAAAAAGGAAAGTTGCAAACACAATGAGCACATAAAGCATCAGAATACGGAGTAATGTGGGCCTCCCCGAGTTTTCTCATTTTCTCCCCATGGGTTTTGAGAGTTTTGCCCTTGCTGATGCAGGAGGGTCTGAGGGGATGATCCAGGACACTCGACATTCAACAATCTTTTTATGGATTTTTATCAACTTTTATACGGACATTGGTCAACTGCCCTTTATGGACCAACGGCTCTATGTGTTGGGTATCATCATTGTTTGATTTTCTCATCTGCGTTGCCGATTTTTAGTTCCAAAAGAACTACTGTTGTGATTTAGGGCTATATGAAAAAATAATCCACAGCTGGGTACTGAGAGCCTGGGAGATTTGTTTTGAAGATCGAGCCCTGTGGCGCTTTCAAAGGCGTCTCGTAATTTTGCATAAGCATTCAAACGTTGGAACAGTCATTGTAAATAGAATAGCGCTTAGACATAATGTATGTACAGGTGGCCAAATAAAACCAAAACAATGAAACACACTGTGTATTCAAGGATTGTTCAAAATGAGTGAGTAAGCACATGTTATAATTTGGACGTAATATGCATCCAAACAAGGACTGGGTACTTGCTGGGTCTGCTGACACAAAACATGTCACAATATGATTTGATCCTACATTATATATATGTATTTCTAAACAATATGTATCGATTGAGAGAAAGAAAATAAAGATTTTGGCCCCTTATCTAATGCTTCACCCAATTTGAACAAAAATACAACTCAATGCATTTTAATCAGAATCAGAATCATTTTTATTGCCACATAAGTAAAAAAAAGTCACCACTTGGACATTTCTTTGGCAGAGCATGCCAATTTAAAGAATATTTTCTCCAAATCCATCACAAGCTGGTCTAATTAAAGACTGTAATCTGACTGCAAACATTTACAAAACTCCTTTGGAAGAAATACTTGGTTTAAAAGGCAGAAAACTGATCCGTCCCTAACTCAGTATATTACAAGGATTGGTCTTCGCAAAAAGTTTGAAAACAGAGCATTCACACAGATGGCCTGGGCGTAACATACTGTGTTTTTGGAATGTGTTGCCAGGTGTATTTAGCTAAAACCACTCAATGTCTGTTTTGGATGAAGGAGCAATGTTGGAACATGGGTAAACACTGGTTATCTCCTTTTAATCAGTAAATTTAGTTTAAAATGAGGAGTAGAAAGCAAATGATGACAAACTGTACTTTTTTTAAATGCTGCATCAAACATTGATAATAAATCTACCATTCTCACATTTTACACTTAGACTTAATGACTACTTACACTATCCCTTTCCTGGTCCACAGTGATGCTAAGTTTGTTTATTCAGCAGAACTAAAATGACACACACCGTGCATCATGAGTACCAGTCTTTTCCCCAGGATTTACTGCAATTCCCATTTTTATTACAACATGTCTGTCCCCGGTGTTGTGGGTATGAGTCTGCAGTGAACCCTCTTTACATAAGTCAATGAGTCTGTCCTTTTTTGACCCAGCTGGAGGACTGGAGTGCAGTGAAAAATGGCTCTCCAAACAAGGACAAACCAGTGAATGATCTGCGGTTTAGTGGGACATAGATCTTCGCGTGCGGACAGGCACAATCAATGGCCCACACACTTACAGGCGAGTCGGCTGTGAGACGGTACAGGGGAAAGAGTTATAGCAGAGGAGGGGAGGGAAAGATGCAGGACACAGTATGAGCAATCGGGTAAATTAGGAAGTCATAAGTCATATTATATACTGTATATACAATATGTATAACTCTCTTTTACACAATAGTTGTGGACAGAAGTTTAATTTAATTAAAATCCAAAAAATATACCCATATTTATGAATAAGTTAAGCTAACACAGTTTACAAAACACAACAAAAACATTGGATATCTTCATTTTTCCCTCTCCTTCAGTAAATACTTTTCTTAATACAAAAACATACACAATGTGTATATTTATATCATTGTGCTCCAGGCTTCTGTCATGCCTTTTCACAACTATCTCCAGGTCACAGCCCGAAAGTTGAAGCTGTATTGAAAAACAATAAAAAAGCATGGCAAGATTGAGTAGCCTACAGTATATTAAACAATCCAAATACTTTCTTTTTTGTGGGGAATGCATTAACATAAGCTTTTTGCTTCATCCAATCACTTTTCCACCACAGTGGAAATAACTGTGGCTTCAGCATTAGGGCTATGACCTGGAGATAGTTGTGATTGCTGATGGACATAATCAGTAAGTAATCACCAGTGAGCGCAACTGGTTTTGTTCTGTCACACCTGCTATACCTCACTGTGCTTTTTTGAAGTACGCCTCTCTGTTTTCCACTGCGGTGCGCATAGGGTGAGGTATGGACCAGTGGTAGAGGCCTGGAACATGCAGAAGCACGCTGATTTATTTTTTAAATGGACTCCGTTAACACCATTTTTAACTGACTGCACTAAATGTATCTTTTTTTTTATTTTCACTTCATTATTTTTGTTTTATCTTATAACACTCAGACCCATGCTTTGTAAAGAAAATTATGAGGCTGAGGAGATTTTTCATCAAACGATATTCAATAAATGGAAGGCAAGGAGTCCTATAAAGGGGGATCAGCAAACTAACGATACCAGCCCAAGAAAATCATCTGAATATGGCACTTTATCTCTGCTTTAATCTGTTTTCAGGTGAATTATGGACATTTTAAGGGCAGATAAAGTAGGTCAAGTCACAGCTGTGTCTAGACAGACATGAAGAAAAGTAATCAGGCTGTGTTTATCGGCTGATTATGTCCTACTTAACCATTCTTTTCTTGTTTTAAGTAGTTGTAGTAGTTTTGAATACTGAAAATACTCTGAGATTGTTCAAATTGCATTCTGTGTTTGTTTAGAATGTTACAGGATTGTAACTTTTCCAAAATATATAATGAATTGTATTTTCCATGTAAGAAATAGTGTTGTCCATACGTAAGCTAAACATTGCTTCAAGGGTGTCCCATTTACACATATGTAATGTCACTAGTTATAAAATGAATGTTTCATGCTTTTATTTTGTATTTGTAATAAACTGAACTAAAGGACTAAAGTGTAATGCTTCAAATCAACATAACAGTAGAATTTACATGTTACAGTTTTCATTCATATTTTGCTTTACAACAGAAACACACATCATGACTTAATGACTTTTATGGATGTCTTTGGGATGTCAGACACATGTGCAGAAAAAATATGTCATTGATTTATTTTTCATTCATGACAAAAGTCAACAATGTTGCCATCTAAAGTATTTTAGCTTGCTTTTCTGTTTGCCAAATTGCACCATGAAATTTCATCACTCTCATTGGTTTCAATAAAAAGCTGGTGAATGTCTTGCAGTGTATGTGGCAAAAGGAGAGTCAACAAAACTCTTACGTGACTTATCCCCTTAATAGTTACGTAAAAACACAGGTCAATGAACAACTGATTTTTCTGAATGAAAAATTCTACCTGCCTAGCTTGTGTTCTTGTGATGGTCAGCTAATTTTCTTTGGATATGCTTTGACAGCTAGAGTGGATCCATAAAACTTGCAAAAACCTCGCCTGTGTGGCGCTTTGGGCCTATCTACTGTATCTATCTGTGAATAACACAACAGATCAAAACAAGTCCATCCCATCTGCCCTTTGTTTTCCCTGTCCTTTTGTCCGCCTCCCATTCTCTACGTGTAGAGGACACAGTGTCACCGTGGTGCTTGTTACTCCTGCAGGGAGGCTGCCGTCATGAGCTAAGTATCTAAGGGCAGGTATGTTCGGTAAATACAACGGGACTGCAGTTTGTTTCTAAGCTGCAAATATGAGCAGTCTGGGTCATTTTTCAGAACTGATTTCACTTCGAAATAACTGATAATAATACTTGACATTGTCTTGTGGCCACATAACAATGTCATGGCAACTGTAAGAGCTTGCAAGTCATTATCAAACAACCGTGAAATCACACATATTGTCTTGAGGTATTTAAAATTGCCCATAATTTTTGTGAAATGTGGTTTGGATTAAATGTTACTCACAAGGCGCTTTCTTACAATTATGCAAAAGATGACATGTATTCCAGAAGAAGAAGATAGCCTGTTGTGAGCTGATTTCATTATGATACATTTACAAGCCTCTTTCTGTTGGGAGAAAAGGAGCATTATTCATGAAACGGCACGGAGGCACAGAGGTTAGCACCCTTGTGTGTCCGAAGTTTTCTGCCAGGTGCTCCGGTTTCCCCTACCACTAAAAACATGCACAGTAGGTAAAATTAACCAGCTCAAGTAGTCCTGACTAAGCCAAGCATCAACATCTGGAGATGGGTCCCCAGATGTTATCCTATGTGCACCCTCTTTCACACAGCTCCCATCTGTACTCACATTTGAACCCAAATACTTAAACACATCCACTTCTTCTATAGCTTCTGCCCAATCAAGCAAACAATCAGACCATCCACATCCTGTTCCGTTCCACACCTGATCACTTTTTCTCTTTCCAACATTCACACTCAACTTCCTCCTTGAACAGACTCCACTAAACTCACTCAATAACATCTTCTGCACGGAGTGGATGGCACTCTCGCTCCTCAGCCAGAAGGTCCTGGTTTCGAATCCTGGTCAAAACAGGACCTTTCTGAGTGTTCTGAGTTTCTATGTTCTCCACGTGTCTCCGTAAGTTTCCTCAGGTTGCTCCCGTTTCTCCTACCACTAAAACATGTACAAAAGGCTACAAAGGTGCTACATAAATAACGATTACTACTACTTACTCACTACTAGACGCTTTACCCTCTTTTCAACCTCTTGAAGGCCTCGCTCATGTTCTCTTTACCAATACTTCTATCATTCAGGTCATCCTAAGTGGTTGTATTCTCCTTCTGCTTTTCTGTCATCCACCTCATTCAGAAGTCTATAAAATACTCCTGCCGCCTTTCATTTTCTTTCAAAAGCATTTTCTCCCCTTCGTTATTGTTTCACTATATAGTTTCTACTTGATATAT